ACAGGTATATGGGAAATAAAAATTTAAAGGAACAAAGAATAGTCTCAAAGGGGCTTCCCTGCTTATCTGCAAGGATAACTAGAAAATAAGAGTAAGTAAGAGATACATCAGGGTTCTGGGTAACCACTAAGATCTTCTGTCATGATTATATTGTTGTTAAGTGTTATGGAGTCGGTTCCAACACACAGTGACCCAATATAGGGTTTAAAAGGAGCAGCTAGTCGATGTGAACTGCCAACCTTGCAGATCAAATCGAACTTGCAGTCATTGCTTATCCTATGGTGTCACACCAGGACTCCAGTGACCCATAGTGTTACCTTACAGGTACAAGGAATTGGAGAAAGAGGCAACAAGTTGATGGTGGTGGATTCTGTTAAGACTTCTTGCAAGACCAACACAGAAAAATATGAGTCAACTTAAATTTGTATGTACATAAGAGGCAACTAAAAAACTCTACTTTAAGTGGTGTCTAGAGTATAGAGAGGGTGAAGGAGGGTTTCTGTCCTCTACTGTGGGTCTATGAGATGCTGACGGAACATTATTTAGTACTTATGACATTGATAATCAACAGTGTAATCAACATAAATTTTAAGACTCACATAGCCCATTAACTATCCTTCACATGATTGTGCTAGGAAGCTATTAATTCTGCTGATGTGGTCACAATATCACATGAAATGTTGCCCCAATAAGTATCTCACCACCTTTAAATGCAGAAATGATATGACCAAGCCCAGTTACCCTGGTTTGTAAAAATTATTTCCAACCTTAGAAGATACTGGTGACCACCCAGGTGAATACAAAGAACAGCTTTCCACCATTTCTTGCTGTGGGAGTTTCTGTGACTCTTGGAGGAAGCTCTGATGGCGCTGTTGTTCAAAAGTACAAGTTCAGATCTGGCTGCCCAAAGCCTCTGGACATTCTCACTTCCAGATCAGCCCCATGGTTGCATCTTGAGCCTCAGATGTCATGACTATACATAGACCTATGTTCTTTCTTTCCTCCACTAAGAAACAGATCAGCTCAAAAAAAAAGCTATACATGAATGAGCATAGAAAATTTTCTTCTCTTAACTAAAGTCTCATGGTATTATTATGAGGAGACCTGCCCAGGTGAATGGGGATGAGTGGTTTTCTCTTTCAATCACAGGCATTTCCAAGTAATTTCCTTCATATTGAGAGAACATGCAGTGAGAAGGCAGAATGCCAAACAGGTGAGGTAGCTGGG